ATCGGCGAATGCGAGGGTCCGAGGGAGTCGTGCAATACAACACAAAGCACGAGCGGTGCAAGGATTTGAGGGTCTTGCAATTTGTACTTGTTCTTGGATCCCTTGTAAACTATACCGGCGGATCTTCTGCAATTTCAAGTGTCCGCTGCTTCCTTGCAAATACGACCATAATGTTCCACAGTAGTGTAGAGGGCATTCAACTGAAAACGTGACTATCGCTCGGAGAACACGTACTGTGGGGACTATACTTGCAAAGTTAAGTCTGCAACAAAAACACAGATGCTTACATGTAACCACCGCCACTTTGCAACGCTTCTCCAGCAAACATTTTTCCAACGGACAATCCCGCTACAGAAATCTCTGCGGACAACACTTACTCCTGTAAATTACGTCTACTCTTCTGCCCACCAGTCAAGGGTCAACAGAAAATACCATTGTTGCTAAACAAACCAGCTAGCAGCACGCCAAGATTCAGAACGAAATGCTAAAAAAGGACTCTACTTAACATTTTTTCTTGAAAGAAGTAAAAAATTATGAATGTTATCCGATTATTTTTAGTAAATGTTATGATTTTAAGTACTTAATATAATATCTATAAATATGTATTACAAAAGTAAGAAATAATTTCATAAATGTTTATGTTAACCTCAATTTTCACCGCTACTAAATGATGCTATAACAGTAAATACTGCCTCGTAGTTTTGCCTAACATTTTACTTACGCTTTTTAAACGTTGCTATTTTTACTTTTCCGCATACTGTAAATATATGAGGAGTAATACATGAGGCAAGGAGAAAGTTATGTAATGCTGCGACGAAAAGGTGCCCTTTTATGGCAGAAAAAAACCTGTATTGCGGCTCCTTGCATGCTGACAGAAACGGAATATTCATGCTCACGTATAGCAGGTAAATTAAATTTCTCTAATAGAGAGTGCCAGTCAGATTTTCACCTTTTGTAGTTCCTCAATACAGCAAAAATTGTGAAACGACGAATTTTCGGCTAGGCCATTGGCTTGCGCATGTCTGAGGTATAGCTGTTTTCATGTTCTAGGTATTTTCTTGGCAAAAAACGGTGCAATGTAGCCCGGTGGCAAAGGCCAACATGCCAGCATGTACAAGTAGGCTTCCGCGGCTTCGAGCTCATTAACTTCTTGGCTGTCCGGCGTGACCGCGTCGTGGCAGAGTAGACGACGTTTCGCCGTCATGTCGCAGGCTCTAAGCGTGCAGTACCCTGAAGAAGCCTGCGACATGACAAGGCAAACGTCGCGTCTATCTGCCAACGAACGGGCGTCACCCGGACAGCCTAGAAGTAATACATTGCCAGCTGTACTTCCGCACCGC